AAAAAAAAAAAGATAAAAATTCTTCCTGAAAATGGGTGTGTATGTGGTAGAATAAAGCCTCCAGAAAAGAACCCTAAAAACATTCACACAAGAGATGGCAATTAAACCAGAAACTAATGTAGAAAACTAAACCCAAGAATGATCATGGCAGAATTTTCTGTAACAATGAAAACTTGAAACTAGACAAATGGTTAAATAAAATTAAAGCCAAATTGTGCAAGCATAAAAGTATTTTTATTTTTGGCAGTACCAGGAATCGAATTCAGGACCTTACACTTGCCAGGCAGGCACCACTAAGCTATATCTCTGGCTCGTATTTATTTTTTTTGTTTGTTTGAAAAATATTTAACATTAATGGCAAGAAAATGTCTGCAGTATAATGTTACACAAAAACTGCAATATAAAGTGCCATACTTGTTTTTCAGGGCTGGGGGCAGCTCAAAGAGGGACTCAGTGTAGTTAGTTCAGATGTGGAGAGCCATCCATCACTTGACCTCTGACAAAGTCTCGTCAAGTCTGGAGAATCTGCAGAGCAGAGCCTCATATGGATGTATCTCCACGACCCCCTGGGACTGTTAGTCTTAGGTTTCACGGAAGAGAGAACACACAATTAATCACCTAAAGATTTGGCACAACTTAATTAATACATTAAGTTCTTACAGAGGTAGATTCTGTGCCTCCCGCCTTACAAACCTGCAGAAAGGGTCAAGCCTAATAAGCCAGGAACATTCAACAACAACAGGAAATTTAGAGTCAAGACCTTGAGGCAGTGAGAAAGTACCCCCCAGCTGAGTTTCGGTGGGGCAGAAATGGAACAGAAAGAACAATGGCTGATGAGTTTCCATGACCACTCTTAGTTTATACTGTATACTCATTAAAATTTAAATTGTTTTTCGCTTATATGTGAAAAGCCATGTTAATCTTACCTGAAGAAAGCTTATGAAATCACCCATGTATAAAGGCTACTGGGGGCCGGGGAGATGGCTCAGTAGAATAAAAGCTTCCCTGGTAAGCACAAGGGCCTGAGTTCAATCCCCGGTTCTGCCCCCCCCCAAAAAAAAATAAAGGCTACTGATTTTGCTCTGGGTTGAAGAGGCACATTCTCCTTCCCTCCTACCCCACTATGTTTTAGTCTTCTTCAATGCACACTTTCCTCTCTCTCTCCTCAGGTTGTTGTTCCCTGAATGAAAACTGAGGCTGGACTTTGGCAGTTTAAGCTCCCCCTGAACTCTTGTGGGAACCTTCCTGCCTCAGCCTAAGTGGTAAAATGACAGGCATGCACCACACCTAGCTTCCAGGCTTAGTACTTGTAATAT